AAGGTGAACTGAGTTATTTTAGTGATCGACTCATATTAACCTGTTTCCATAAAGTGAACTGGATTTACCAGTTCTAGCTCAGGGTGAGGTCTTGAATCATTAACCTGGGTAGAACCGACCAGCTCTGTATCAGATGATCTTTTCTGTAATGTGGTGGCGCTTTGATGGAAAATACCAAGCTTATTTTTACCGATATACAGCCTTGGATCAATAGATGTTGACCTTTGGAAGTCAGGCTTTGTCATTTTTCATAAAGCTGTGCAGTCAATGCAGTTTCCTGACATTTACAGTTAACAAAAACACAGTAGTTTGGTCTTTATGAAACCGTTGATTAGTTGAAGCAGTTCATGAATCTTCTGTTRAAGCCACTTTGTTTTTGTCTCCACGGTTCTTTACACAAGGTGCGATTATTTRAAGGAGGAATTTGTAGATTTGTTTCCAGGTGAGATGCCCCCTCACGTCTTTAGTGGTCATTGGAAAATGAAGTGTTTGGTGCACTAAAGCCAGCAGTAACCATGTTTTAATGTTCAGCTAAGCTGACTTTATTTGTGTAGCACCAATAGATGTTTGCCAAGGGCTAAGTTCAGTCTAGGCCTCCACACCACGTCTGTTTGGACTATGAATGGAGCGACTTGTAGAAGCACTTTGAGTGACTAGAAGGTATTTAAATACAATCCATTTAGCCTTAATACCAGCACTTCATTATTCATTGTTTTTACAGGGACTCACAAGACAGCTTTATTTTTAAAAACCTCATAAAAACACATTGAAACACATCCAGTGTCTGATGCTGCTTAAACATGTTACTGAGCTGATGTTACAGGTTTAAGGTCTAGTATAACTTGTTAGCTTACAGCTTTATATATTTTMCTTTGTGATCAGTTTTAGTCATTTCCTTTAACAGTTACAAAATCAACAAGTCTTTATTTAGTTTTGTTGTTTGTTTCTAAAAATCACATCCTTGTTTTAGACATGATATTGTAGCTGGGACTATAGGCTCACTGTGAAAGCATTTGTGATGACTTTAGACTGAGTAGTACTGGGCCAGTTCCCTTCGCCTTATTTAGGTCTCATGAACATAGGTCCCGAGGAACATTTGGTTCCAGTGAGCATAAGTACTGAGGAACATGGGCACTCAGAGATATAGGTACTAGGGTACTAAGTATCAGCCTAGGAACTAGGTTGTTCTGTTCAGCTAATAGTGAAACCAATGTTTTGTTAAGGGTATTAGGTTTTTGCTAACTTTGGAAAACGTTTGTGGACCAAGTAGCTTTCACTAAATTGAGATTCAATAAGTTCATGTCTGCAGCTGCTTAAATGCATGTAGAACATGATAACTTGCATGTAAAAATGTTATGTTAAGCAAAGGTTACATATCATTAGCCACAGCATAATTGCCCAGTACATATTTGGTCACAAATTACTTAGGCATATATGCTATGAGGCTAATGGTATGTACACTGTGACATGGCTGTGTCCAAAACGTCAGGCCGGGTCCTCCGGAGGACCCAGACTACCCTGTCGTGGCGGGCCGGGTCCTTGGTAGACCAG